TTCCTCTGTAAGATATAGAAATGACTAGCCGCTTAGCAAATCCACTGCGACTGTCCTGTCACTTCGAACATTAAAAAATGCACTAGTAGTTAAATGAGATTTAAAATTTTTTTATAATTAAGCGACATTCACCAGGTATGCACACCCGGAGGTACCGAGAGTATAAGCTCTAAAGTCCTAACCGTAGGGACTCGTCTTGTCTGTCTTGTACCTGATACCGGATGGATGAAACCCATGAGGACAAAAACGTCTTTTTCTGAGTTTCCGGGCATTCGGCTAGACTATACAGGCATCGTTCCCACAGAATGAATTTTTCTGATATGTGCACCTAATTCGTGTGGACAGATACATTACTGGATATACACTCATTTGCAAACTAATTGGGTTTTTTGAGAGACTCAACTGGAACCCAGGTGAATCGCTCGTTTGTGATGTCCTCAGCAACTTTATGAGCACTACATTACGAAGATATACATGTATAGCGGTATCTCGAATATCGTAGCGACTGAAGCATGAGGCGACCTGGTGCAGCACATTCAGTTGTCTGAGGACATCACAAACCAGAGATTCAGCTGGGTCCCAGGTGAGTCTCTAGAAGAACCAAATTTGTTTGCAAATGAATGTATATTAGCTAATTTCGTGCAATTTGGTTTCAAGTGGAACCTAAAGTTGACGGAAACTCGGGGACTTCGCCTACCTGATGAGCCCCAAAAAGGGCGAAACCGGTCGTGGGCTTTCGACGGATGTTTATCAACCTTATGAATAGTACATTACAAAGATACATTACTGATTAAAATATAAATATCGGTGTCTCAGAAAACCGTTCGTCATTCAGATATTTTGCAATCACTAAATATTAGGTTGGTGAGCTGTTTCACGAAACTCGGGAAAGCACCACCATCTATCTCCAAATAAATGGAGCCAGTATATAGGAACGTCTGGTCAACAAGGGTAGTTGGACAAGTTGAGTTATTCTAAACCACTTTCAATCTTAAGTCAAGTGACCGTCCGTGATAGCGGTTGTGGTTAACTAAGCTGTGTCATGAAACCAACCTGTCAGCAGCATGTTCACAAAACTTTTGGGGAAATTATTATAGCGACATTTGGAGGGGCTTTACTTTTTGCTGAAAAAAATTTTATTGTGCCTCAGAAACTTTCTTTTAGCTTTAGCGCACGATTACACAAGCAGTGTCTCTTATGTAACTGAGCCCTGATGTTTGGCTGCTGGCTACTTATTCCGGCAAGAAAATCAATCTAAATATGAAATTACTAACCTTAGATCCTAATAGCCCTACAGTGAGTCGCCTTCACGCAGTCTAAGCGCAAGCTGTTCATATTACTATTCAGGCTCCTGCGAACGGAGGGTTGTGTTCAAGCTACTAGCCGAAAGACAACGCTTTCAAACTCCCTACAGTTTCACCAGTACCAGAGGTCGTGACACTGGATAGTGGATGCAGATTAAAATGACGTATCAATATTTAAGGCTTTTCAACCAGCTTACGAAATGCCTCTTCTCAACTCTTTCTTGTCTTTTGCTTTTCGCTCTCCGCTGAATTCTAGACGACTATTTGGAAGCTGCTTTATTTTCTCAAGAAAATCAATAGTGGCTGAATGCACCTGTGTGGCCACAACTTTAGGGGACATAACTTAAAAAAACATATTTGGTGTGGTGATATGTAACGCATGACGGTACTCTTTGAAGGTTAAATGGTACCACTGTGAGAAACCCGGAATCGGATGAATGTTGCCATGTGAATAATTAGTTTGCAACACAAACCAAACGGTGCAAATATTTCAAACCGAAAAGAATATCAGGCCTCACATCACGTATTTGTTTCTAGCATATCCGTACAAAGGTTTTGAAGGCGTAGCAAATGTCAAATGTGAAGGCATTGAAAACCGCAACAATAGTTCACCGAAGCTGGCTGTTGATTCTCTTCTATCCTTGTGTGGTTCAGCGGCATTCCCCGTTTTTTGTTATTTCGGTTTTTGTTTTGACATGAACATAAACCATTCTTTGACCTTGTCATCGCACGTGTTGTTTAAACCGATACATGGTTTCGCCATCTTGTAAACACGCTACCTTTAGACAGTGTGGATTTGGGGTCCGTTAGGAATTCGCAGTTCCTGAACCAGTGCATAGGGGCCGGCGAAGTCCCACGGTTTGAGGTTTGTGTAATTTTATTGTTTTATTATTGTATTTATAGTGCCGAATTTGTAGATAAACCTCCATCCGAACGATTTGGCTTTTGGGGTTTCGCGTGTAACTCAGCGTGGTCCAACAGATTGCTGGAAACTATCTATACTGGCACCATGAATCCTCGGGGGCGTCTCAACATTTCCTACCTTCTTGATCACAAGTTTTCGTCCGTGACTTACTTCTGTGTATGGAGCGGCATGTGGAAAGAGTTGTCGACAACATTAGAACAACCTGTATAAATTCACTTAGGCCAAAAAACAAGTTCATCAGCATTGTAGATGCTTGATTCCAAGAACGATAATTTACACATTGCTGAGGAAAAAGAAGTAGTCTGAAGTGAATAGTTGCAAGATTTGAAAAAACAGCTTTCATATTCAACTCTTTTTGAAACTCCTCTTTTTGTCCTAATGCGAACAGTTTGACTATTACATGCGACATTCTCTACCCGAGATGCTTACGGCAGTGAAGCATCAGTGCCAACACTGATGTTGCTGTCATTGATGATGATGATGATAACCCGAGATGCTTTTCTTTAAGTCGTCAACAGTGCATATTCCCGTTGGTCCAACAGTTTATCTACTGGCCTATATCATGGGGGGCCAGAGTGTTACCAAGTCTCCACCAGTGTGCTCTGAACGCATGCATGAATTTACTTTGCGTGATGAGTGTTTTTCCGATGCCTTGAAATAGGACACAGTAAATGTCCTAGATACGCCCACCGACTTACCAGTCTTTCAAAACTTCACTGTCAGGAAACTCCTGCGATGCGTTGAACCTGATGGAAAATGGCCACTAGTTCGTCCACTAAGCTGAGCAAATTGGTCGCAAACAAACCAAACCAAACAAACGATCTGAACTATCAGCATCCACTTCATCTACGAACCGATGAAAAGTTTCATTCGCTCACTTAAGAGAGGTTTCAGGATTTGCGGCCATTGCAAAGATGCCCCGAATTCAGCAACATCAGGCTATGCAATACGCTTAGCTGCCTATCTGTGCAACACAATGAATTTTGAATAGGAAGTTTACTTAAGATATACCATACTTTATGGTCCATACTTTCGGCTTATCCAGAGTATTTAGGTTGCTTATTTTAGTTGGATACGTTCCTTTTTAATGTGCCTCATATCGTTCTCGATGGGTTCATGTCCATATAAGTGTCTATACTGTCTGACAATAAATCAAACAGGAACGCAGCAATGACCGAGTTAATAAGGAAACACGATATTTTCCAATGAGTGCAGTATTACCCGTTCAAGGAATGTTTCCTTGGTGGAGAGGGTAAAAGTGAATTCACCTCTTGCGATCATTCAATGAAACCCAGTGATAAGTCTGTGTTTTCAGAATTTCTTTACGCATCTTTTGGAGAAGATGGAATTCGATCATCTTATTCATTCAACGCCATTGTGCTTCTGCCCTCTGAAAACAGGACGTTGGGTTGTCGGTTCGATAAAGTGTTTATTTCCTGCAGTGAGTGGACATCGATGGCTTATGCCATATGTGTTTCCAGTTTCCTCCTTGCCACCAATATGAATGGGAGGGATAGCAAAAAGTCGCATTTGTCTATTTTCCCTAGGAAGTAAAGCAGGGTTTCCAAAATGTTAACTTGATTTGATGGACGTAAGCTTTATCTGGAGCTCTAAAGATAATCAGAAGCGTCTAGTGGTGCACGCTAGGGGCCATTCAGAGGAATTTTACTGAGCGCCCGAAATGATGCAAACAGCTTGGTGATTCAAGTGCAGATTTCTCACTCGTTACACATTCATGCTTATAATGTCATAAGGAAGGCGTGTGAGCTCACGTCGTCCGTGTTGGTTCTCTGAATGTGGACCGTAATTGGATTGATTACTAATTGCTGAAACAGTCGGTATGCTCCACCCTTCAGCAGCCAATGCAATACGATTCTTCTTCGTGCCTGAATACCTTATTCGTAGCGTAGAGAGGCTTTTACTGGTTTCGACATCAGTAACTTGGTGTCACTACAGTGAAACAAAAGGGGTGCAGCCAATCTACTTCTTGATGTTGTGGGGTGGTGTATCAGACTACAAGAGACTTCAGTTGCGCGTGCAATCATGCGAATTCGTGCACATCTACCGCGAGGGGATTCGAAAATTTGGTAGTAAAGTGAGAATTCCATGCAAAAACAAACAAATTGTTATATGCATAGGGTTTGCCACAGTGACCATAACTGGAATCGTCTGACACCCGGCACGTGTGGGAAACCAGATACTTTCCTATCACTGAAACTGCAGCTGGAATGTTGTTACGTCAGATCGTGGTGGTGAAAATAAAACGTGAAAATAAACGTGAAAATAAAACTGTCAGCCTGCATACGAAAAACCTGATGTACACATCGTTTGCTACTTAGTTGATGAACCCAAGAAGTGCACACCAGTCGAAAGCTGTTGAAGTATTTCCACCTTATGAGTAGTGTGTTCCGTCTGGTCGGTGTAACTTTATGTCTCGAGTATCGTCCAAACTGAAACATGAGCCTTTGTGCAGCACATTCGGTTGCAAAATATTCGAAGCAAAAGATTCAGTATAGTCTCTCATCATCCTAAGTTTAAATTGCAAGTAGCGTATTTCGTTTACTTCATAAATTAATGAATGTAACCGAACTGTCCAGTTAGTAGGGAGTGTGAGTGCCTTGATTATTCGCAATCTGTATCTAAATACTCCGGAATAATGTCTATTTAGTTTATGCTACCTCGGTCTTTCTAAATCCTTTCGGTTGGAATAGAGCAAATTAGGTAGACAGATAGGTAAAATACTTCGATAGTTGACAAGAAGGAATGGATATCTCAGGACTGTTTCTTCTTTACTCCAGACAGAATGTGACGCGTAAATGAGGAGTAGTGTTTATGCTATGCATAAGATATGGTTTATGACATGGGGTTTTGCGAGTTCTCTTGGTTTTCAGCCGTTTCAGTCATGACGGCTGTATGGATCTTGGACGATTCTAGCTGTCCAAGAACTGGTTCATTGTCAGCTGCCTCGTGAGCCGGTGTCCATATTTCACGATGAGCAGCTGCCAGAAACTTTCGTTGCCGTTCGTTCAGCATTGCTTGATGAGCTTGTCTGTTCACCTGCAAAAGCGATTGTAAATAAATCAGTGTGTAATCTTATCAAGTGTGCTCAAAAAATATTTCTCCCTAATATACAATGCTTCTGTAATCTCTGAGAAATTCACGACATCAGATCGCTATCATTTGCAACTGGGTTAGTAGAAACATTTTTCGCATCCACATCACTCTTGTTCGAACCATCTCCCTTCTGTCTCGGCACAGTTGGTCTGGATATTATATGGTGAAGAGAGGTTGCACCTCCACTAGAGCTCATTATTTCTGCATATGACGGGAATGATTCTCTGGACACTGACATACGAGGAAAAAGAATCCACCGCTACCTCGCCACAGCGAGCTAAACGCACTCGAATCACCACCTATGAAAGGGTGATTGTGTTCATCCTCGACCGATGTGGGGCTAACCAAAATTGTTCTTCTTTCTCCGTTGTACCTACATATTTTACAACCCATCGATTTTACTTTCCCCCCGTTTTTTAAGTTCTTCATCGATTAGAGTTTTGTGATTCTCTAAACACCGATTTATCATCAGCATCTGAGATTTTACACTACCAGTGATGATAAAATCACGAGCAGAATAAACTCAGTAGATGATATCAACAGGACGTAGAAGGATCGCATACCTCTGGGATCAGGAAATTATAAACCATATCAGCAGCCACTGAATCCGACTGAAGCTCAGTCCGGGTACCTTCTAGGCTATGCGCGACGGCGTCCAAGTTTTTCGCGAACTCTTCAACTTGAGCTTCAGCAATCTTCCCTGCAGTTGAATCGAGCGCCAATCCTGCCACGTTAGCTAGATAACCGTTAACTGTTTCCTGATGCACTTTAATCATCTGAAACAGGCGCCGGGGAAAAATAGCAGATCGATTGGAGAAGATGAAATCAGTAAATAAAATTTCAAACCCGTACTTCTCATTTTAGCAGACATTAGAAAGGAAAAGCACTTCCCATGCTACCGCAAATTTATACGGTCTATTTGTATACATCGGGAATGTTCACATCTGTAAAAACATGGGGGAAATGTTTGTGTTTCATGCACATTAAAGCATTGTTTGAAAGTTATTTAGATCAAAATGTAATTGCCCAAACTTTTTACAGTTTAAGAAAAAGGGGAGAGTAAAGAGCTTTGATTCCTTCAGGATGTTGTTGTCAGGTCGTCTTTTCCAGATGAATGAAATAAGGGTAAATATTGAAATAAACAGTTAAGATTGGTTGTCATGTTCAAAAAGTCGTAACAGGCAGCTAATTGTCGGCGAAAACTAAGCCCAATATAACCGTATCATGTAAGGTTATCTAAAAGATATTTGAACGACTGGGCCGGTAGATTTGCATCACATTACCAAGACAGACGTAGAGTTTAGACGAGTCGTTTTGGGAGCATAATGTTAAGTGTAGTTTAACAGCGTCGTCATATCGATACCGGTGTTCTATGAGGCATCCTTCAAGAAATGTAAAAACGGTTAGTTTGGGTTGATCAAGCGACCGGTGTCAATATATATNATATATATATATACGATGACACGACACAGTCACCACACACACTCGCGCGCTTGCGCGCACGGGGTAGGGAGTCAGCCAGTCATTTCAAGTGGAGAAAACACGTTCCCGCCGTCCGGATTTTCACCCAGGAATTCTCAAGAGTTATCCACAAACGATAAGTCAACTTTCGACTGATTTCATGGTTCGCAATGTATTTGTTTCATGGAGCAACTAGTAACTGTAAACTACTATCTGCCATTGTATGGACTGTTATTGGTGCATACACCTTCTGAGTTATATTTCGACTATCAGTTACCATCGGCTGTGCACCAATAATGCACTGTACGCACAAGCAAGCGGGTAGCAGACGAATGACCAATCGAAGGCTATATATTGCTCCTAATCTTTCGGACTAGGAACGTCAGGAGTTTACACTTTGAGTTGGAAGGATTTCTCAAAGCAGGCTAACTATAAAGCATCCAAGCTGATATAAAGCATGGCTTGTCAGATTTCACATGACTAGTTAATGTGTTATAGAACACCGAATCAAACGCAAGAAAAGTACTTCTTTAGTAGCCTAAGGAACCACCCCTCACTACTTACAAGTTCGAAGTAACGGCTGAAAATACCGGATTAAAAGACCGGACGGTATGTCAGCAGAGTCACTCACTACCTCTGTTTTGTTTGTGGCGTTGTAAGCGAGTGATCTGGTGTTTGCGCTTATTCAAATGACCCAGATAAATTCCAAATTTTAGCTACATAAAAAAATTTATACCACCAGGATAGAGTTGACAATGGAGATCAAAATACGAAGATTATGCACACCCAATTCTGCTGGATTCCGTGCCTACACCGTATATCAGCTTCCCATCTCAAGCAGTGTGCCTTGGTCCTATATCTTTGTATCCGATCCTAATGGGAATTAAGTTGGAATTTAGGACTCTTAGGACTTGACGTTTCCACAGAACATGCACATTTTTGTCGAACAAGTCTCGTGCGGTATTAAGTCCTCGAATTCAGCACCTGAAAATTCATATTGTTTACACCTGATGTATTCTGGAAGGTCCACTGGACGACACGCGATTCATGGGCCAATAACTGTGAGGCCTTGTGGTTGGTCAAAAAGCCGCTGTATAAATGCGGTGGGTAAATGTGTAAACAAAACTTGCAAAACACCCACATTATGGTGAGTTCCTTTTAGAGTGTTACAAAGATTGACGCAATCTCAAAAAAAGCCTTAAAATATCAAAAACACTTAGAAACAGCACAGTTGGAGAAAACAGTAAATCGTTATCATGTGACAAGAACCGTAATAATGCAAATGGTCAAAAACCGTGTTTAAAAAGTTCAGTATCTTTAATGGTTCGATAGGTTAAGGGTAAACGTTTTATGGGGAGTATGTGATATGGATGCAAAAAATGTCGGTTTCAGGCAGAATAAAGGTTTTAACCTAAACCCGGATGTAAAACGGGTCAAACGAAAAGACGTTGAGTACACTAATTTTGCATCCCAAAGTCTCCGCCGTCTAGGTATCATGCAAGTCGAGTGAAGTCCACTTCTTGGACCACAAAAATTGCCCCTTTAATTAAAGTTAGTTTGTGGTTTCTGTGGTGCTGTCTTCGTTTGACTCAGATTTTTTCATCGATTCAGATTATCTACATTTGGAGAGATATTAAAAGCCGACAGCTTCTTGTCCATCCATAGAAACGGACATATCACATTAGTTTCTAATCTTACTGAAATTTAGTCACCCGTAGAGCTTTCAGGTCGTCTAACTAACCAGTACTGTCTATTTGCCATCTCGTGAATACGCGTAACCTTTGGATAAAGACACAGCATTAGCTATTTTTTGAACCGTTGTGGACATCCGGAGTTTGGTCACGCTCTTTGGTTTAAACAGCGCTCGGCTTCAGCAGTGCAAGTCATTAATGACAAGAGATGTGGTAGTCACTGCATAAGATATATACAAGAGAGAACAGTACAATGAAAGCTCAAGAGTTAAAGATGTACTCAACTACACAAGCCGTGGTTACACCTGGCGGTTGATGAATGGTCATAATTCAAAGGAAAGATTTAGTTAAAATAGGTCAGAAGGTTTTGAACAAATTTGGATAGATTATTCTCGAGTCAGTATACAGGGTTTGTTTAGAAGACCTCGTAACGCTGTGCTGAAATTTTCAGTTAAGTGGACCCGAAGAGAATCGAGTAACTTCATGGACAGTGAACGCACCTGAAATCATACAAAGTGCTAAGAAGACTATTCTGGCATTCTTGAATGTCCCAACTATCCTCAAATTTACTTTCTTAAGCCCCTGAGACGTCTGAGCATGGACAGCAACGATACTGATCTTGTTGGATCAAGCCCTTCGGAAATGCATATTACTTTGAATAACCTAAGTAGCCTGCAGCACAGTTCGGTATGGTCTTCATGTCAATATCATAAACTGATCCTGCAGGACTGGGTGAGATCAAACCCAAGCATTATATTTGCAGGTGTATGTAGAATTTCAAAGCGACAGATGTGACGTCTCTGAGCAAGACATCTTGCACTGAAAATCTGTTTCTTTTTATGCTTCTGGACAATCTTTCAGAATAACAAAATAATGAAGTGCAATTCAAAAATGGGAAGTGACTTCCTTTTTTCGCTACAGAACGCTAAAAAGCATACCTGCTTGAAGATCTCGTCCTGTTCACGTCTACGGCGTTCTTCTCGTTGTCTGGTTCCGCTCTCTTCTGCTTCACGCATACGTCGAAAACGCTCCGCCAGAAGAATCATTGCATGTATCCGACGTTCTTCAGTCAAACGGTCTAACTCTTTGCTGAGGAAGTCCAGCATTTCAGCCAAGCTTCCACATTCCAAATTAGAAAGCACATCATCTATTCGGGCGTCCTGAAAAGTGATATGTGTGAGTCTGATTTCGCGATTCTCTCTTGACAAGGTGTGATAGCGAATTCGGGAGGCTAAATATAGTAAGCACTTCTACTGTGCTTCATCATACATTGAACTACTGCGGTAGCCTCCTTTCAAAAGGACACTTCGTGGGCCAAAAAAATGTTTTCAACCCTTTCCATCAAGTTTTTGCAGCAAGACAGAGTTTAGAGGTTTGGGGTTTAAGGTCTGTTTCACAAACACCGCGAAGTGTACCAGTAGCCTCATTGTCACAGCTGCAATATTGTTGTCACTCTCATCATCCATGTCATGAGGGGTGAGGCTTGAGAAAGAATGTCATATAGTCGATATGCTTTGTTTATACGGGCATTGTGGACACTCAGTTCATTCGTGCATAGTTTTCACACCATGTGGATCAAGGAATTCGTGATAATGTTCTATACATTTATTTTTTGAGAGCATTGACGCGCTTAGGGCCTTACGTATTTCGATTACGGGTGCCTTTTCCTTAGTTTTGGCTGTTTTAAATGCTCTGACAAACAAGCTCTTTCCTTCAGACAAGCGCTTTTGTTTTTTTTTTGGTTTTTCATGACGGAATACTATTGCAGCTCTTTAGGATGCCCGGTACACGTTACTTGCGACCCTTTGATTAAAACGTGCTGCATTTTTGTTTCGAACTTGTAACGGGGTTTCAGTATGAAGCGATCCCTTCAAACGATATTGACATACAGTGCCCTTTAAAACTCGGAATGCACGCTTCTCTCCGATTACTTTTCCTGTATTAAGGAAGGAGTATATTTTTGTACCCAGGCGCAAGTATCAGTCCTGACTAATGGTCCTGATAACGTTTGAACTTGAGACTTTTGCACGACTGGACCAATAAATTGTACACTCATTAATGTGAATAGGCGTTCAGCGTCACTCTGTTGTTTACTGCAGGTAAAATACCTGGTTTGGATCTTGATAGATACCATAAAATGAGATAGCCTGAGGGATCGTTTTTCTTTGAAACAAGATTAAGAAGTATTTTACAGATTTTTACGGAAAAAAGCGAGGTCGCTGTCCGTTTAGCCTCAAATGCGAGCGGCATCTTCGGCCATCAAAATGATATCTATCGTTTTCGAGTCCCGGTCGCGATTTAGATTCTATTTGTGAATTATTCTAGTGCCTAAGCCCTTAGCTTGAGGCTTTTTCACAAGCAATTCTGCCTGGATTCCTTATATCTTGTTTGATATGCAATGGTTGAGACTAGAAAGTTTAACCAATTCAATACTACAAAACTTTCATGGTCATGAAGGTTTCATGAATAAGCATACCAAAGTGTGGGATACATCTCCAAGGGCCACTTAAAACAGAATCCCACACATCATTCAAATTTCCAATTTCATCTTTTGATGCTGCGTATCCAACGAGGTTGAGAATGATCGCTATAATCCAACGCATGATCACCTATACTTTTGGCACTGAACATAAGAAGCTCTGAAATATTCTCCTTCGTATAGCACGAATTTTTTTCTGGAGTTTTTTTCCCGTAGGAGGAAATGGTAGGCAAATTTATTCACCTGAATATCCAGGTGAAATTTCATCAATTCAGTTAAATCCTTTGACTTCTTATTGAGCCTGTAGCATTAATGGATCCAGATGAAAGCGATCGGTTTAAGCGGGCTTGCACTCTCCCACGGCCCTGACAACAAGCATGCTCATCGTGCATAGGTGTGGCCTTGCATAAGTCAGCTTAGATGCACACAGGATGAAGTAAAATTGTTGAGGTCATTCATTTAGTGTCCGCCACCGTGTGCGATGATCCGACAAAAGTGTTTTTTCCATACTTGTATATTTTGGTGGTTTCAGGTGTTAAGGTGGTCGGATTTTGGAGCGAATGAAGTTGTTTCCAAATTTTCGATTAGATGTTAGTCATCAACATCATCACCAAAGACGGCAACATCAGTGTTAGCACTGATGCTTCACTCCCGTACAACCACAAGATTCGTCTAGTTATATATATATATAT